TACGCACAATTACAGCCAAGACCCATATCCCAATTTTCTTTCATGATTGATATACATCGGGATCGTTTTCCTCGTCGCTTTGACGCTTTATTTTTGACGTTAAACTTAACGTCAAGTCAAGCGTTCAATTGAAATTGCAAGAGTTATCTCCCCCAGTGTGTTGTACGTCTTTAAGTATGAATTGTAGTTTAACTGATACATTTTTTGATCAGAATACTTTTAAACACATTTGCAAGGCGGGGTTTTCTAGCATGTCCAGAGAAAAAAAAAACAATGGAATCATGTTATTAATAAATGTAAAGTTTTTGGAAACTTTTAAAACATTATCTGGAATTAAATAATCTCCTGTTTAGAACTTAATCAGGTTTATATTACTGAGGCATATAAACAATTGTCTCTCTACATAGAAAGGGTTTGTTGATCGAATGCAGATTACTCCTAACTATAGATACAGTGGGCTGGGCAAAGAGAGATAACTCCGAAATAAAGAACTGTTTTTCTTATCTATTTGAGAATGTAAATCACTTGATAGTTAAAATGCCATTGGAATTTAAAAAAGAAAAATGTATACATATACATGCAATACCTATATATTAGTTATAATGTCATTTTGATTTGTACTTACATGTAGTATATAAAGTATATAAAGGTTATGAAAAAATAATATGGTTATAATTGGTTAAGAATTAAAAGTTTGGACTGGAATCTACTAAGAGTGTAGGAATCTTTAGTCACATGAGTTAATCTACTAATCTACTTTAGTCACATGAGTTAATCTACTGACCTTTTGCTATTTGTTATATGGTTTTTGTCCAGCATCATTTGTTTTCTATGAACATTTAAATATTTACAGCTTCTTCTCATAAACTGCTGAACACAATTCAACGAATTTTGACATGTATACATCATGTAGTAGAAGTTTTCAAGAAATTGTGAATTCCATGGATATCTCCCACCCACAGAGTCTAAAGATAGTGTTCTAATGATCATAGTGTAACATTGTATAATTTATTTAAAAGTCTTCTCTCTCTCCTGTAGATAAATCAGATTAGTTACATGTACATGATGTAGGTGAAAAATTGAGAAATTTTGTTGCATCAGAGTAAGGGGATCCTATAGGAAAGGGGGGGGGTCTATTGATTAAAGGGAGAAGATGTTTATTTATTTGAAATTTTTTTCTCAAAACCTGTATAGTAAGGAAACAAACTACAACAAACTAAGTGTATAGTAATGATGAGCAATCTCTAGTACTTCTTCTAAAATTGTCAATTGTAAGTTCCAAATTGGCCCAATTGGGTCAGGGATTCTAGTGTTGAAGTAAGACTATGTTGACTTTGTAGGGAATTGACTGTACTATAGTACCCATGCGTATTATGAAGTATTAATAGCTTTGGTTGACCATTAAAAAAGTTTTAAATGTAGAAATTTAGGATAACCGGTAAATTGACCTAAACCACGTGTCTGTGAAAAAATGTAAACATAGTAAACCAGCATGTATTGTCGTTCTGTCATCGGATTGGACAATGTCTATGTGCGAAATAATAATAAATTAGCCATGTAAGGTCTTCTCGGACACACACATCCCTCTATTGTACAAAGACCTGCCCATTCTCTTGCCGTAGAAAAACATATTCTCACAAACCTGGCTGAATTTAGCTGTGATAGTCCCCCCCCTCCAGTTAGGGCAGGGCCACAAGGGACGATCAAAGTTTTACATGGGAACATATTGGAATTGTCTTAAAAAATCTTCTTCTCAAGAAAAGCAAAGACATGACCCCCTGGTTTAAGACAGGGCCACAATGGACGATTAATTTGTTTTTCTCAAACTTTTAAAGCCATTATTTTGTCAAAGAAATATGGTAACAATTACTGGTACTTGGTAAGTATAGATTCAAGTTCAAATCATACATCCTCCCCTTAGGGATAGAATGATATCACTCATAAAATACTGAATTAGCCAAAGTGCTCTGGTGAGCAATGTGGCCCATGGGCCTCTTTTTTCCTAGTGAGGGTCCACACTTTTTTCAAGAAGAGATAATTTAGAAATAGTGACAAATTTGGTGATATCTTTTGAAAATCTTTGCAAGAACCAGTGGGCCCAAAAATTTGAAACTTACAGCAAACCTTCTGAACGAAGTGTTGAATCAAGTTGTTCAAATCTTGTCTTCAGGGAGCATTATTGTGACTTTTTTATCCAACTTTTGGTGTTTTAGATAAAGTTGAGGGATTAAAGACATTCTTGAGAAAGGAGAAGACAACCGTGTCCCATGCCAGAGGAATACTTGTTGGATGTGCTGAGGCTGGAAAAACAACGCTACTGAAGAGATTAAGAGGGCAAAGTCAAAATATCGGTGAAGTTACAGAGTCCACCAGGGGGCTGGAAGTCCATCAACATCTTTTCATCGTTAAAGATGGAATTTTAGAAGGTAACTGATACACATACACAGGACATATAGACATTTTTTTGCTGTTTTACAGATTTTAAATTTTAGCTCTTCTGAGCTGAGCCAAAGACCTAAAGAAAACATACTCTGGCACCGTCGCCCAAAAAGATTTTGAGACATGTGATTTTTTTCAATGCAGTTTACATAAAATATGCAAAATTGTGTCTGATGGTGGCAGACACTATTTTTAAAGCAAAATAAGCACAAAAATAGGTTTTAACATGTTTAAGGAGCCTTTCTGTATTAAAATTAAAAATATGTATGACTGTCACAGTAGTTTGATCCAAGGAGCCGTATAACTATCACGTCTCTTTGACAGACACGGTTCATCAGATAAAACTTGACATTTCTCGTCTTGTTTGATCTAATGATCTGCGCCTGACAACTCAATGATATACGACTCTTCAGATCAAGTTACTGTTATAATGATACAAAAGTGCCAGTCTATATTCAATGTTATTTATTATGCCCCTTTCGAAGAAGGGAGTGCATATTGCTTTGCTGCTGTCTGTTGGTATGTCGGTCCACTTTAGTTTCCATTCATTTTATTCGCAACCGTTGCACATACTGAAATGAAATTTGATATACAGGTATATCACATAAATATCTAGGTCAAGTTCTGTTTTGGGCATGATCGCACCATTTTAGTCAGAGTGATGCCCCTTAGACTTAAAAAATTTCCAATTATTTGCAGTTTCCATTCATTTTCTTCACAATGGTTGTACATACTAAAATGAAATTTGGTAAACAGATTTAGCAAATAAATATCTAGGTCAAGTTTTTTTTGGTACGATCACACCATTTTTGACAGAGTGATGCCCTTTTGGACTTGGTAAAATTCCAATTTGGGGGGAGGGGGCATAGGTGTTTTACAAACATCTCTTGTTTAAAAAATATCATATTCATTAAAAAATGGTGAATATAAAAATATATCTGTGATAAATTGTAATGCTATTAAGTATTTCTAGAGTACATGAACTTAGAATGTAAGATGATTAAATTATTTACATGTATTAACAGTAGCTGATGACGATTCACCATTGAAGACGTTTATCAGGATAAATGCTGCGGACCTGAAGCCAAACATTAGCGGTGAAGTTGACATTTCCAATCCAACTGAAAATAGAGACAATTCGGAACTGAAAAGTCCTGATAAAGAGAGGGGGGAAATCTATAGACGAGAAGAAAAGAAAGTTGAGTTGCCTAGCCCACCAACTGAAATCAAAGAAGAAGTCAATACAGTAGAGGTAATGGCCAGTGTTCTCTCCTCAGAAGCGCAGAAAATGGTGAAGGATGAAATTTTTCAGAAAATCTTGTCTGAAAAAGAGAACTTACCGACTGTAAGCATGCTGGATTTTGCTGGTCAGTTAGCGTATTATGCCTGTCACCAAATTTACGTAACACCAAAGGCCTTCTTTATCCTTGTGTTGGACATGACTAAGAAGTTTGAGGATGTTGTCGACTTACAAAGGTAAGGCATTATGTCTTGATCTCAAATTTTTGTCTGTGAGGCTTACACTCATCAAGATAAAAAAAAAATATGCTGTATAAGGCATTCAAGCTTCCCAAAAAATGTAAGAGAAAATAAAGAAAAATTACAGGAAGTTTAAAGGTGGGCTAAGGGGGGGGGGGAGGGGGTAGTTCACTATAGCCAAATAAACATCTATTTTTCTGACTGTTAACTTCACATTATTTGCAGTATCTAAAGGGCCAGTAGACAAGTTTCAATTAAACTTTTTACAAATTGTGGTGGGTAACTGAAGGACTAAGCCATCTTCTAAAGGAGAAAGATAATTAAAAATAAATGATCAACAAATGGCATTCAAAAAATGTTCTAAGAACCATTCAGAGTCAAAGAGGTTTAATTAGAAGCATCCTCTCATAGTGAAGATCCAAATTTGTTCAAATAAAGTACCCTGAGAGAAAAGAAGGACCACAATGGGCCAAAAAAATTTAACAGCAAAATACAGGATTAATTAATAAAAATCCCTCTGTCTAGAACAGCTTGCATACTTAAGCTTTGATAAGTTTATAATAATTATGAGATTGCCTGATGGTTTGTTACATATGTACTATTTGCTACTGACACTATACACAGTAGTTAATTGTTGTTGGAATCACAAATAATTTTCGTCGTTTTCGTGGTATGACAAGACCCACGAATTCATGTCCACAACGAAATGTAAAATTTCACACACATAAGTACTCATTTATTCTTTCCACGAAATCAAATCCCCACGAACCAAGAAATTTTCCTCAAACCACGAAAATTTGACCCCACGAAAATATGTGATTTTACAGTATAATTATGTAAGACTTAGTGATTTTTAAATTCAATTTCATAGGCAGTTTAATTTTCATTATTTACCAATGAAACATTTAGCAATTACATAAAATTAAAAATCTCATGAGTGTTTTTACATAATTATTGAACGTTTTTGCATTTTTGTAAAAAGAAAAGGCCTGTTTCTGTTCACTGTTGTAAGTACAATAGAAGTGTTAGTTCTCATCAATGATGTTAAATTATCTGTTTCATCCTATTACGATGCCCTATTTCTTTTTCAGACTACCTGAAGTTTTGGATAACCTCAATCAAGACTTTTGGAGGCACTAAGGCACCCATGTTCATTATTGTCACACACACAGAAAGAACATCTACAGAAGTAAGAATTTGAAATGAAATGTAAATATTTCATACTAGATGTAAATTATAAGAATGAAGTTATTGCATAAAAAATCAAGTGAATAACAAATAAATTTATTTTTTTCCCGGTTTTAAATTTATGCAGATCACTCTCTTTTGCTCATCTAAGCCAAGACTCAGTTGAGCTTATCTGACTAAATTTGTCTCTCGTCTTTTTAGCTCACCTGAGCCAAAGGCTCAAGTGAGCTTTTCTGATCACATTTTGTCCGTCGTCCGTCCGTCTGTAAACTTTTCATATTTTCAACTTCTTCTCAAGAACCACTGGGCCAATTTTAACCAAACTTGGTCTAAGGTATTTCTGCGTAATGGGGAATTTAAATTGTTAAAATAAAGGGTCATGTCCCCTTCAAAGGGGAGATAATCAAGAAAAGACAAGAAAGAGTTGGGGGGGTCATTAAAAAATCTTCACAAGAACCAGTGGGCCAGGAAAGCTTAAACTTATATGGAAGCATCCTGGGATAGTGTAGAATCTAAATTGTTCAAATCATGACGTCCAGGGGTAGAGCAAGGCCACAGTAGGGAATCCAAGTTTTAGATAGAAATATATAGGAAAAATCTTTTAAAATCTTCTTCTCAAGAACCATTGGGTCAGAAAAGCTGAAACTTACGTGGAAGCATCCTGGGGTAGTGTAGATTTTAAATTATTAAACTCATGACCCCCGGGGTTAGGGTGGGGCCACAATAGGGAATCAAATTTATACATAGAAATATATAGGAAAAACCTTCAAAAATCATTTTCACAAGAACCATTGAGTCAGAAAAGCTGAAACTTATGTGGAAGCAACCTGAGGTAGTGTAGAATTTTAATTATTCAAATCATATCCCCCAGGGGTAGGGCGGGGTCTCAATACGGAATCCAAGTTTTTATATAGAAATATATTGGAAAAAATCTTCTTTTTAAGAAGCAGTGTGCCAGAAAAGTTGAAACTTACGTGGAAGCATCCTGGTAGTGTAGATTTTAAAATATTAAAATCAAGATGGGGATGGGGGGTTGGGGGATAATCGGCCACACTAGATATAAGAAGAGGGGAAATCTGGTAAAGAACTGCATCACAAAAGTTATTCAGGTAAGCGATGTGGCCATGGGCCTCTTGTTTTGCTTACCTGAGCCAAATGCTTTTCATGTTCAAAATTTGTCCGTTGTTTGTTGTCGTCGGTTTTGCCGTTGTTAGAGTAAACTGTTCAAATTCTCAACAACCGGTGGACCAATATCAACCAAATTTGCCACAAAGTATCCTTAGGTAAAGGGAAATCAAGATTATTCAAATGAAGGGCCACATCTTCTTCCAATGGTAGACAATTATGAATTGGGAAAAAATACATGGCACCTTTTAAAGATTTCCTTCTCAAGAACCAAATTAAGAGCCAGGACAAATTAAACTCGTGGAAGCATCCTCAGGTAGTGTAGATTCAAGTTTGTTCAAATCATGACCCCAGGTGTAGGGTTGGGCCACAAAGGGGGATCAAATTTTAACGTAGGAATAAGTAGGAATTTTTTTTTAAAATCATCTATTCAAGAACAACTGAACCAGGAAAGATGAATCTCAAGTGAAAGCATCCTTTGGCAGAGTTGGCGAAAGAGGTAAAAAATCTGTTGGAGACAGTGTCCTATAGACTGTCTAATAATCACAAAAATTACAGGACACACTAAAAATTTGCCGGACCAAGTGTAAAAACAACAAAATGTAAAATTGAAATTGATTTGTGATTGAAGGAACTCTTTCTCGTTGGAGGAAGAAAATGTCTGTTGGATGGGGACAATGTGCTAGGGCCTAGTAAATACAATGCAAAATGGATCATTGTGAAGTTTATAAAGACATATTAGAAATAAATCCTGTTGAAATTTCTTGCTAAACATTCGCTGAATCACCGTAGCTAGTCCTCAGATGATACATTTTTGAAGATATTTTTCACTAAACTCATTAATTTTTATTGAAAATCGTAACTTTTGAAAGCTCATAAAATACTATAAACTTTCGATCCTTATTTGAAAAATCCATTATCTAGAGTTCAACCCGTGGCAATACATTGTAACAATGGCATAATGATTGCTCAAGTCATTTGATTATCACTACTGTAAACAATGTTATGCTTGAAAAAATCGCTTGAAATCTAATTTCTTATATTATGTTTTACTATTGATTATTCTGAATTATCTACCAGACACGGTGTCCGGCGTGGTTCTAGAAACTATCGTATTCAGACGAAATTTACGGGAGATCGCTTGTGGGACGGCGTCTTTTGCCAACTCTGTCCTTTGGTAATATGTAGATTCAAATTTAAACTCAAGTGACCTATTGCTATCTGTTTTCGTCCATTACCATGCGGTGTGCGTTAACATTTGAACATTTCAGCTTCTTCTCTGAAACCACTCAAACAATTTCAACCAATTTTGGCATAAAGCATTTATGGGTGAAGGGGAACAAAAATTATGAATTGCATGGTCCCTGCCTCCCTAAGGGGCTAAGGGGTGCGTCCAAAACCACTAAAATTGATGCAATCTTTAAAAATCTTCTTCTTTACTCCGGGACATCAAGCAGTCACTGTTTGCATGATTGTTATCAGCATTGAGTTCTCTACCAAAATTGTGAAATTCATGGCCCCAGGGTCAGGGGCTCTAGTGCTATGGTGCGGCTATATAGATAATATAGTGAAAATGCATTATTTCTTTTAAAAATCTTCTTCTCTGCTCCTGGGTATTTAATAAACAAATCAAGTACATACTTTTTTTGAACTAGGCTCCTTCTTTCAAAATTGTGAATTTTATGGCCCCAAGGCAAGGTTCTGGTGTTAATTGATTATATAGTGAAAATACATTAATTCTTTGAAAATCTTCTTCTCTGCGCCTGGGTATTCAATAAACAAAATTGGTACAAAGGTATAGTGGGCAGGAGGGCCTCTTCCAAAATTGGGAAATTCATGACCCTGGGGTCAGGGGTTCTAGTGCTAGGGTGGCCTGCGGGGCTCTATTGATTATATAGTGAAAATGCATAAATTCTTTGAAAGTTTTCTTCTGTGCTCCTGGGTATTGAATAAACTTACGAAGTACATAGTTATGATGGGCAAGAATGCCTCTTCCAAAATTGTGAATTTCTTGGCCCCAGGATTAGGGGTTCTGTTGTCAGGGCGGGGCTCTATTGATTATACATTAATTCAAATAAATGAAAATAAATGAAAATACATTAATTCCTAGAAAGTCTTATTCACTGCTCCTAGGTTTTAAATAAACTAAGTAAGTACAAAGTTATGATGGGAAAGAGTGTCTATTCCAAAATTGTGAAATTTATGGCCCCAGGGTCAGGGGTTCTGGTATTGGGAGGGGGGGCTCTATTGATTATATAGTGAAAATGCATTAATTCTTTGAAAATCTTCTTCTCTGCTCCTAGATATTAAATAAACTAACTAAGTACATACAGACTTACAGTATAACTGGTAATTTTTTCTGCGGTAAATTTTTATGATTTTTGTTAAAAGGTTGAATTAAATTTTTATACGTTATTTTTTTACGAATTGAACATGTCCGTAAAAGTTAAAATCATCCGATGTAAAATTGCGTTTACATAGCAAATAATTTGTCCAAAAACCTGATATAAGAGAGAGAGAAAGAGAAAGAGAGATTTATTAAATTATAACAATTTAAACAATGTTACAAATTACATTATGTATATTTTTTTTATAATTTACCTTTATATACATGAACAATGTACCCTTCATTTATTCATGTTTTATAAAACACATAGCTAGGCACACCACGTGCTCGTGTGGTATTTACTGAAAACAAAGAGAGACAACACAAACTATCATAATTGAAGTAAAAGTATACATGTAAAGTGTATTCATTAAGAAGTCGAAGTTTTATTCAAAGCAAATGAAATAGAAGAAAGTGTCAAAGATTGAATACACGGGTATAATTGGAAGACTTGTAATTACATGTATTGCGTAATTATCAGAAATTATGCGTCTGGTAAAAATACTAAAAAAAACAGTGACCAGGTATGTCTAACTGATTAATTAGGGCCCCGCTTGGCGGGCGCCCTATAGTGATCAGTCTGTCCGTCCGTCCGTCCGTCTGTCCGTCCGTCCGGCTGTCCGTCCGTCCGTCCAAAATCTCTTGTCCGGAGCATATCTTCTCTCTCCTTGGCCCAATCTGGCTCATACTTCACCCACAGAGTGCCTTTGGGTAACCGGTGTGCAGTGACCTTGAATCAGGTTTCTAGGTCAAAGGTCAAGGTCATAGCAGGAATATATGAAAAATCCTTGTCCGGAGCATATCATCTCTCTCCTTGGCCCAATGTGGCTCATACTTCACCCACAGAGTGCCTTTGGGTAACTGGTGTGCAGTGACCTTGAACCAGGTTTCTAGGTAAAAGGTCAAGGTCATAGCTGAATTATATGAAAAATCCTTGTCCGGAGCATATCTTCTCTCTCCTTGGCCCAATCTGGCTCATACTTCACCCACAGAGTGCCTTTGGGTAACCGGTGTGCAGTGACCTTGAACCAGGTTTCTAGGTCAAAGGTCAAGGTCATAGCTGAATTATATGAAAAATCCTTGTCCGAAATATATCTTTTCTCTCCTTGGCCTAATCTGGCTCATACTTCACCCACAGAGTGCCTTTGGGTAACTGGTGTGCAGTGACCTTGAACCAGGTTTCTAGGTCAAAGGTCAAGGTCATAGCTGAATTATATGAAAAATCCTTGTCCGGAGCATATCTTCTCTCTCCTTGGCCCAATCTGGCTCATACTTCACCCACAGAGTGCCTTTGGGTAACCGGTGTGCAGTGACCTTGAACCAGGTTTCTAGGTCAAAGGTCAAGGTCATAGCAGGATTATATGAAATATCCTTGTGTGGAGCATATCTTCTCTCTCCTTGGCCCAATCTGGCTCATACTTCACCCACAGAGTGCCTTTGGGTAACCAGTATGCAGTGACCTTGAACCAGGTTTCTAGGTCAAAGGTCAA